GGCACCAAGAAACGCACCATACAAAACAACATTATGGAGACATAAAACGAAGGGCAGTGGATAAGAAAACAAGAAAAACAACAAAAATCAAATGATTGGAAAGGCAGTCCAGTAAGATACATTCGAAACAAAACATTCAATACTTTTCAACAGCAGAAGATAGAAGGGAGCTACAGTATGAAAGCTACTGGTTACTATTCCGAGCCATGTCTGATAACGTCTTAAGCCACTGAGTTGTTTGATCTCTCGGATCCTAACCAAGGTTTCGTGATGAACTGATGGATGCTAGCCCAATACAATCATTCTTCATCCCACAGAGCTACATCGTATGTTGACCACCGTTTCGCTTGTTCGTCCAATCCCAGGGCTATCAAACAATAAACGATATGGAGGCAGTTGGGACGACATGTGTAACACATGTCCAAGCCACCGAAACCGGTATTTTTAGATGACTTCTCTTATTGAATGAAGACCTCCACCAAGTCCAAACACATGCTGTTATACTTCAAAAGTACTTACATGGTGCTGCCAGAGGATAAGAGCAATCCTATGGAGACAACGGTGATCGAAGACATAAAGTCATCGCATCTCCTCAGCTTGGACAGGCTAGGTTTCAAAAGCGTAAAGCAGAACTGCTATCAGTATCTAGCTGCAAGTATAGATTATCTACAATCACTGAATGGCTCTGATTTTTCTGATTTTTAGTGCAAAAAAGTTATATTCCTTGATCCGCACGCAAATGCCAAATGTACTGTTAGGAATACTGATAAATAGTTGAGTTTTAAAAGTATATGAACTGAAAACATGATTTTGAAAAAAGCTATACGAAACGTGTGTAATTCAGTGGTGCACTCAAGTAACTCAAAAATGCACTTCCAAATAATTTTTCCCGCTTTAAGTTCCTTCATTTTTTTCTAACACTGAGTGACATTCAGTGGTGAAACTCGTTCGCAGAACTCTAAAACAATTTAACGTCTCAAATTAAGATATGATCAAGTATATTTCTGCAATTTTATTGTCATAATAATGTCTAAAAACTACTGCAAAACGTCAACAAACTTTGATATTTCATAAAGTTAGGAATATCGATAAACATTGTCCTCAAAAAAAAGTATTTAAAGAGAAAGATATTTTTGAGATGAATGGGGATTTTTAATTTAGAAGTAGTATTCATCATGGACTGATATCAGATGGGAAACCATTGAAAATCTGGGGGCATTGGACGGCTGTTTCGTCCTAGTATGCAGACCTGAAGATCATCAGTTCGATCCCTAGCCGGATTGTAGGTGCGTACTCCTGAGAAGTCACATACTAGGACGAAATGTCTGTCCAGTGTTCCAAGATTTTCAATGGTTTTTTTAAACTCATATCAGTCCATAATGAATACTGCCCTTAAAGAAAGGTATTTGATAACCCTTTGTTCCTTAAATTCTTAAGATTGTATATCACACATTTCTAAAACTTAGAACATAAGCACAGTAAAACACTTATTTGAATTGCATACTTCCTCTTCAATTTTAGTCCTGTTACTTGACGACAACTTCAGCAGTCTGGAGAGCACACTCCACATTTCACAGGGCAGTTCAATCCGACAAACAACCTGTACATTAGCTGATTAATTAACTATAATTAACAATTTTCAACTTCTTCACTTCTGGATTCTTGATTTTGTATTCCAAAATGCACTGTGGTGATCATTTAATGACTTTATATACATTCCTTCCACCCTAATGCATTGGACTCTTCCTTCAGAGTGGCATCTCTTTGGATATGTTATCTGTTAACCTTGTTCTCATGGCAATAATTAAGACACTTTTTGTAATGCTTTAATTAGGCATTGAATTACTCAACTTAGTGTTTGTTTCTTCCAGTAGTTTAGGATGATAAGAGTTGAAAAAGAAGTGCTACATCTTTCAATGCTTGATTACTTGTATGCCTACATTATCCACTGATGTTATATCAGTGACAACAGCGAATAAGATTCTGATTATTCAGCATACACTTACCGATATTATTTGCTCAATTTCCAGATGAGAATTTATGGAAAGGAAGATAAGTATTAATTATTCGTTTGGTTCGGTAAAAACTTCAATACTAACGTTGATACTGATGTCACTTTGTATCAGCCGTGTACTCCTCAAGTAATCTAAAGTACAATCATTTTTTTGTATATGATGGGTAGTACAGTAGAGTGCGTCGCTGATTAGAATGGATATAAGTAGTATATATTGAGAGGGGAATTACCAGTAATGGGTTAGGATTCTGCCAAGAGCAACGCAAGGGATAACACATGCGTGTTACAGTGGATGTTGCTGATAAGAATGTATGAAGAGCAAATCAAGACAGAAGCAGGGGAGGAAACGAAGCATATTTTGCAAATGATGGTTTTGGTGCAAGGTGTGCTATGTCTAACTACTACCGTCTCAATGACAGATAATAAATATTCTTCCCGTCGTGTCTATTTTTCGTCTCTTTAGTATTTCTTTAGGAATTACATTTTGTCAGTGAGAATTACACCAGACTGAACCACAAGGCTCAGAAATCATAACATCATCAAAATCTTCTTACACTACGAATGTTCTCCATCATCGCAAAGCCACTAACTAGACCTTTATTCTTTTTTGGTCGTTTTAAAAAATAACATTTAACCAACTCACACACATAGAAATGATTTGAAACGGTAGGATACTCTTCGTCAATATTCAGATATCAGGGTAACGTAAGTAGTAAACTGATTTAGTCCAGATAATAGCTGAAAAAGTTCAGTAATTAATGTACAAAACGGTTACGCAGATAATGTCCTTCAAAGTGTCTCTCAGTGTGGCATTCATGAAAGACTGATTTCAACTGAGGGACTATGGAAAACCTGGTGTACTAGGCCGTTATTTCTTCCTAGTATGGGACTCCTCAGCAGTGCACACTCAGGACCTTCAGGTTACTAATGAGGCCCTGGGTTTGGATCCAATGGTCTACATTCGCCTGTGTATCCGGAATCAGCAACTCGGTGGAAATGAGCTCATCGTGGAACCTGAGTTCGATTCATGAGGGTCGCGCGTCCCCACTGCTGAGGAGTTCTATACTAGGACGAAACAGCTGGCCAGCGCCCCTAGATTTTCAGTGGTTCTTCAACTAATGCCAGTCTGAGATGAATACCAGCTTGGAATCAATTAATGTCTAGTAACCTCCAAACTAAAAGACAAATGTGCCTGCGCTCGATACTTCAGTATCGACTGACAACTAAACGTGATCGACTCAAATTCTACCACTTTGCCATGATCCAGATTGCATTATACTTATAAATTACCACTAAAGAAGCGAAATGATGAAGATGTGACTGACTGACTCCACTGTAATTCTTTTGTTATGTCTATCACATATGAGACAGTGTTATCTACTGGATGACGTTTCAAGCACTGTTTATTTCTCATAATCACATCACCCTGTTATGATTATGAGCAATAAGTTCTGCTGTGTGATATATGTAATAATAAAGCCATGATGGGATTATACAGTGTCACAGTGGGCGGATTCTACTCTCATGATGGAACGCGACAGCTGAACATCGTACGTCCAACCAATGATTTTTAACATACAACAAAATTAGCATAAAAGATTAACGCATTGCTTAATACATAGACAGGCAGGCACACATAACAGTTGTATATGACCTATGCTCAAAAAGAAGGTTGTCGCAGGCTGTCACAACTTGTGGAATTACAGGAGAGACATGAATCAGAAAAATATTCAAATGATTAGTTAGACGGGTATGATAAAGTAAGAGTAAAATGAAGAAAGTTTAGGATAGTTAATCTAGATGAAGAGGATGGGGATAATTACCGACTGAATTCATCTGAAAAACTTGCAAGTCCGAGCTTTGCCATTAAAAGTTTAAAACGATTGCTTTTTAATGTCTAAAATACTTTCTTCAAAGGTAGGTAGGAGGTTACAACCAACATTATTCACTGCTATTGAGACTAGAATCAACGTAGTTTATAATGAAGTTATACACACAAAATGCTTAAAAAGTAGTAACTGATATTACCGCCAAATTTCATCCTAACTGATGGTGATCACAATTGAATAAATTTGCAAAGAAATATGTTTAACTCCTTTATCACTGAGTCTCTCTCTCTCTCCCTCTCTATCTCTCTCTCTCCATATTCTGTTCTTAACGATGATAAATATATTTCAATAAATCGATATCGATGATACTATCATGTTAAAATTAATTGCATCAGTAGGAATATCAGTTTTAAGCATTATAATTGAAATTTTTAGATTTGAACAAAGAATTTTCTAGAGAAAAAAGCGTTCATTATTTCATCTGGTTACGAAATTTTCAAATTGCCGCCATAACGAAAGGGAATGTAGTAAAACAAACTGCTTTTCAAACTGTTATATATATATATATATATATATATATATATATATATATATATATATATATATATTAGAGTCTATTTTCTGATTAGTGTTCCCTTTTTGAAACTTACACATATTTCGAACAAACAAAAAATGTTTCTAGATACTTTTATCTAAATCAGAAACGATATATACACCGATTCATTCTTTTTTTGTTTTTCACTTATGCTATCTTGTATTATCGTTATAGACTTGCATACTTAAACTCTCCTATTCATGTATATTTGATAAGCTTAGTATATCTATCAATCAATGATTAGAGTAATCAAAAGTGAAAAATACCAGACATTACAAGCAAACATAGATGAAGCAGGTTTTGTTTTCAATTTACTCTTCACACCATGGATACTTGAAACATGAAAAGTGATTAAAATAAAGTGATGAAATATACTAAAATTATATAATAAAATCATACAAAAATAAAATTGTTACAAAACTATTTCCTGGAATATATTCCTAATTTTAGCCAGGAATTTATCGATTACTATTTGTAATCTGCTAAGATTAATATGATATTATAAGGAAGAAGTATTTACATTTATTGATGGTAAAGAAAAAATGTGTACTGACCAACTTACTTCCCTTAAAAAATTTATATTTAACATATTTGTCGATAATTGCTTTGTATAATCTAAAAAAAAAATTGAAAAGAATGAAACAAGATGAAAAGGAAGAAAATGGATTAAATACTTGACAATGATGATAAACCATTTTCTGATTTCTTCATTTCTACATCTGAACTCAAGGTTATGTCGACTACACTATGTGTGTTGTTAGATTCATTATCGCCTTCATTATTTATATCATTTAGCTTGTTTTCTGATGTCTCTGAAGGATATTGTTCTCCGATAGATAACTCAGTTGAGATAGATGATAGAGAAGGGCAAGGTGGTGGAGCTGTAAGGAGGACACCATACTTTTCTGATAGTTCACGTTCTTCAGAAGTGATTGCTGTAAAGAAAATAAAAAGTGATGATTTGGTGTTTAATAGAAAAAATTAAAATGAGAATAATATAAGTATGAATCTCAGGTTGCTTAATCTTCTTATTTATTTGTTTAATACTCAACGTTTTATTATCATCATCATGAATATCAACACAGGACCAGGCATTACTGCCTGATGGTTCTAGTTGCCACACCTCATATCAGTACATCAGTTAGAAAAAAAGTGAGGTGAAAGATGAAGATAAGAAAATTCAGTCAAAAGAAATATAAAGTATGAGGAGAAAGAAAGAAAGAATGAGAAAGTGGTGAGATTCAGTATAGTGTTAAGATGAGGATAATGTGTGTGTGCATCTGTACCACTGACATCGGTTCCCAGACATGTGATCACCTACAGTCTCCAACCACTGATTCCTCTTGTCCCGTGGACCACAACCACCTAGTCTGCATCACCCCAGATGGCTCAAACCAACAGTCAGAGACTTCATGCATTGGTGCGATGTTTTGGTCTGGCCACCTTGGGTCTTTTTCCAGCCCGGACCTACTTCGGCCAACATTGCATGACGGGGAAGTCGGCGACTAGGCATACGTAACACATGTTAGAGTCAACCATCTCAGTTGATGAATGTTTATAACCTCGTCAACTGGCTTACCTGTACTCCCTAAAACTCTGTACCTAACTTCTGTCTTACTCATGTGGTGACACCACGGAATACGGCGTATACTACGAAGGCAACGGTGGTTAAACACTTGACGCCTTCTCATGTCTTTCACCTTCAGTAGCCATGTTTCACAGTCATACAGTGGAACTCGACCAACGTTATAACCAGTGGTATAGACAACCTGAGGAAATGCTTGTCAGTTTTCTACACATTCTAATCCAACACACTATTCATACTTATGAGGATTATGTGATCACTTAGGCTGTTGTGTTGTAGTGTCCGTATCTTCGACAGAGAAAATAATTTGAACAACTTTATTTTCAATGAAGCAAGCTCAAATCACCATAAGCTAACACGTTCTGGTCTGCAAGGACTATTAAAGCCTAATTAAAGTGTCTAATAACCATTCACCAGCCTTCAGTTTATTACTAGTGTGGTATGTGCACTTTATTTAAAAAGTACTAAGTTGATTTATGTGTAGGTCATTTCTAAATTAATGACATTTTATGACTTATTCCGATAATTACCTAGACAGACAGACAGATAGGCACATAGACAGGCAGGCAGGGAGGTAGCCAGGTACACAGACAGACAAATATAAGCGAGAGAAACTAAGTTTAAGGTTACTAGGGATTTATTTATTTCAGGGTAGTATTCATCAGGCGCTCACATCAGTTGGAAAACCATCCCTAAACCAGAAGTACTTAATAGCTGTTTCCTTTCAGTATGAATCTACTCCTCAACAGTATGCACTGTCGATGCCACCAGGTCGAGCGAAAGAGGAGTTTCAACATCATTTCTTTTCCGGAAGTGTTGGCAGTAATTATGTTGCTAATACACAGCAGTCTGTCATGTCCCATTGTTTTTGTATGAAAGATTCATTGAAGGTGGAGAAATTGATTACGTTACATGTTTTTGACCATATGTCTATAGTTTTGTTTACTGGAAGTGGAATCATACGGTAAAGAATGTTTGTCTCGGCCGTGGCCGTAGGTGTGGACTATCTGTAAAGGATCCGTAAGATGTTAGGACTCAATCCTTAGAAGCCTTTGATGATGTGTTTCAAAATCTATCATAGTACAGTAAATGAATCCTCACTTTATCGCTTTGGAATTTTGAATATTTTATCTAACATTTCTCAAATTATTCTTTCTCCTTATTTCTTCTTTTGTTCGTCTGATTACCATTCTGAAGCGCTGCACAAACTGTTCCGCGGTTTTGGGAGTTGTAAAATGCTGCAGCTTGGAGTGTTGTACTTCTGGGCATAACTTTGATCTATTCGTGCTTGTAATTCCCCGTTACTATACAAGGTTGAGTTGTTCGACCTGTATACGTACAAGGGCTCCAATGTGGATACCTCCATACTGATGGATATTCATGATATCCTATTCATTTTGGTGACTAGCAGGAGAGTTTTTGATATCCACTGCATCCCATTTGGAACTCATCAGCTAGGTGTAGCAGTACCTCAGTGAATGTTGTCCTAAATGAGACTCGAACCCAGTACCCATTGCTTCAAAAGCCCTGCATAGTAACTCATAGCCATTGCACAAGAGGTGGCTGTTATGCCCCAGTATGGCTTATTGGGTAACGCTGTGGTGTTTGAGGCGATGGACACTGAGAACAACATCACTCACTACGGTCCAGGTACATCCAGCTGACGACTCACAAATAAGGTGAAACGTGCGTCCTAGAGTTTACTTTAATCTGTCTATCTTTTGATCTTCAACCAAAATGCTCTAACAGACTCGATTCAAAATCCTGTATGATTTAATCAGATACACAACAGGCCATTCATATTTGTTCTTCTATGCAAACTTGAAGAAAACTCCTCACAGTTTAATGACATATTAGTTGAATTAAGGCAATTACCAGAAAGCATTGGATCTAGATTTTGTGCTCTTTGGCACTCATCAGAAAAGTACGTCTGCAACCTAGATGGAACCAGTATGCGACTATAGACCGTGTCACGAACTGTTGTAATCGTATACGCTACCGTTGGACTATTCGAGCTGCAACTGACCTCCTGTATAACCAGGTTACGTACACCGATTCGTTACTAGAAGGCAACCAACTTCATGTTGTCTAGTTCTGAACATTTCATTGACAGTACTCATTCCCAGATTAAGTTCAACTAGGAATGCATTAGATGCACACTTTACGCAGAAAAAAGTGCGAGAACCCATGATTCAGTTATCAATATCCATCTAGAAATTTCACAATTAGTTTATTATATGAACTCAAATGGTTTATCTTGTAGTTTCAAAGAATCGAGATTTCTAAGGAAATCAATTATTTCTATATATATCGAACAACTGAGTTCCCTTTTAAGCACTTCATGTTTTAAATCCACCTGAGTAAATAATCTCCTTTATTTCTTAACAGTTGTAGCACAAAATATGAGTATATTGTGATATATTTCTACCCGTTTTAGAAAATCAAAACAATATATTTCTCTTTCGATTTTCTAAATACACTAGGATTATTTTAAAATATAGTCTTATGATGATTAAATCAGACTCGGCGCTCAAATTTGCTTCCAGAAGATTCGCAGGAAGTATAATCTGGATGTTTTTATTAGTAGTACAAAATATCGTAACGATATTTTACTCATAAGTGGGACTAAACTGGACAATAGCACAAGAACCCATTTCAAAAGCAATTACTCCCACATGCTAAGAAACACTAAGAGTGTGCAGCACAAAAATTTCCAAAACAGTTGTCCCGAAACCTGGATTTTTTTAGGCTTTGTTGTCTAGCCAATATTTTCGGGATCTAAAGGACTTATTACTATTTATTGATATACTTGTAATTCTTCGTTGTTTCATCGGATAGAATCATTCGACCTCTATTGGCATATGGGCTCCTATACGGATGCCTCAGTATTGTCTGGATAATAATTATGGTTTGTGCAGCTGACAAGTCCCAATAGGACGAAACGTGCGTCCTGGATTTCTGTGCTAGCCACAACCAACCAAATTACTAAGAAACTTACTTCCTATCAGATGCCAATTATCTTGAACAATACTACCTAGTAACATTCCTTCCTCGTTTTAACGGTTTTCGAATGTTTACCACCAGAATCAGTACTGTTTTCCAAGATTTATGCACTGTAATAATTAGTAATTTTCATAAAGTCTATGAATTCCGTTCATTTCAATATACTGCTTTCGGTCTTTCAGTTTCCCAGTTAAGCTTAAAATTCATTTTTGATGAAATATAATCACTAACTACTTATGAGTAGTCAAAATTATAAGTGCCATTTTACCAGAGAAAAGTTAAAACTCATGAGAATTCCGGTGAAAAATTTACTTTCAATCAATAAAACCTTTAATTTAATATACAATTAGCAAGGATGATGTTTGTAAACAATCAATATACGCACTTCTTTAGTGCTGTACCCCTCCAATACAAAAGGAATTTAGTGAAATGCTTAGCATACCGTGCATCAGCTATTTGCTCAGATGATGCTACAAAGGAGGAGTACCCCACCATCCCTGACCTGCTTAGTAGGAATGGCTAACCAGACAAGTTTGTAACCAAGCACATGAATATCACGAGAGTTAAGACAACAATGCCAACACTTCCTAAGAAGCAAATCTTCTTGAAGCTGGAATTTAAGAGTGATATTGCCAGTGAGATCATCACACAACGCATAATAAGAGTCTTGCATAAAGCATTCCCAGTCGCTATATTATGTCTCGCCTTCTACAACCACCCGATTCTCGGTGCAAGAAACAAATACAAACTGCCTGATTCCGCCACTTCTGTGTGCATTTATCAATTCAACTGCTCCTGTGGAGCTAGTTATTTTGGGCGTACAATGAGGCAGTTCCATCGTCGAATTTCTGAGCATCACACATCATGATTGAACAAGAGATAAATTAGAAGTATAAAGAGCTGCATACTTGCACACTTAGTTGACACAGAACATCAAGTGGTTACTGGAAAAGCCTCCAAAATCATCCATCAGATTCCAATTAAATTACCTCACGGATTATGCACGCGGTTACTTCACATAGCAGAGGCGATTGCAATCCACCTTTGTAAACCTAGCCTTTGTATCCAAAAGAAGTTTGTTCGACCACTTTCCTTACCGTGGCTGTCAACATGATGTAACTTCTAGGTTTACTTTGTAAACCTCTTCCCCTTCTTGTTTTTAACAATATTCATTTAGTTTCTTATTATTAGGTAAACACTTATTATGGATGACTGGACAATCATTAAAGTCACTCCACTTACTAAAGAAAAGCTTGTTTCATATTTCCAATTTTAGTTACTCTATTGATTATTTACATCATTGTTTCTGAAATATCACCACATGATTGGTAATTTGATTAAATTGTAAAGCTGTATATTATTGTATAGCCGAAGATGAAGACCTTATTGAAAAGGAATATATTTCTTCTCTCAATCAGTCTTTTTCTAAACTACAGACATCCATCAACTGCTGCCACCTACGCTCGCTCCATACTGAAGATCAGATGGCCAGAAAGAATAAGCAACAAGCAACTCTGGGAACGAACCAACTAGGAGCCAGTCGCCAAACATATATCCAGAGGAAGAAAGTGGAGATGGACTAGACTGGGCATACACTGAGAAAACCATTGGAAGACATCACGTGCCAGGCCAGGCCCTGGAGTGGAACAGAAATGGGAACCGACGAGTTGGGTATGCGAGGAGACAATGACACGGGGAGGAGATCGTGTGAGGAATAAACGAAAGCTTATGGGCAGTCATGGAACGAGGTTCAAAAGACTTCAGAGAAGGGAGTGCAATGGAGACGTGCTAATGAGTCTCTATGTTCCGCTAGGACCCAAGGTACAAATAATAAATAATAATTGTTGTCAGTAGACTAAGTAGGTCATGAAAGATCCTGTGGAAATATCAAGGAATGTTTGCAGATTGCGAATATACCTAACATAAGGTAATCATTTAGGTCTAACCATTCGGCATTAAGGAGTTTCATGCAATGATAGCAATAATAAAATAAGAAGCAATTTAGGGAAGAAATCTGTTTTCTACATCATTCTTAGAAGGTGTACTATGACATTTCAATAGGACTTTTGTGCACACTTGATGGTAAAAATACCAATGAGTTAGTCAGTCAGTATATCTTAGTTGGTTATGGTCAGGAAAATAATATAAGAAGGGAATGAGTAAGTGTGAGGTGAAATTGAGAACTATATATATATATATATATATATATATATATATATATATATATATATATATATATATATATATATATATATATATATATATATATATATGGAGAGAGAGAGAGAGAGAGAGAGTACTGTAATAAAAAGGAATAGATAGAAATACTAAAATCAAAAAAGTTACAATCTACTTTCTGCTTCATTTTTATGTGTAATTCAATAAGTAAATTATTCTAAAGAAATGACGCCAAGTAATGGATGCAACCATGTCTGAGATACAGATAGATAGACAAGCAGACAGGTAGGCAGGTAAGGGGACATGTAAATAAATAGATGGATAGATAGACAGACGAATCAAATCAAAGTAGAAGACACAAGTGCATCGGTTCTGGTCCTCACAATTGCGAGTAGTACACAAAGAACAAGTGGACAGAAAAAGATTGAAATGAAAGTCAGTATATTTTACCGTCTATTCATTTTAGTGAACAGATTACTGATAACTGGAAATAAGCCTTATAACAATATCCCTAAAACCAGTCTATAAACATTATTGTTTTGTTAATTTATACTGAGAATAAATGAATATTGAACTAGACAATTTTATAGTATTTTCAAAGGAAATTCATTCACTTACCTGCTTGATCTAAATGAATTAAAAATTGTAAATTTCGAATTACAGTATATCTATACACTACTGAACTATTACATGGAATTGTATCATTCTTTTCATTGATTCTAACTATAAAAAAAAATAATAATAATCATTTTAATCATCAATTAATTTATTTAAAAAGAAAATGTTAACTTACAGAATTGACAGCATGGATTCCCAGTTAACCATAACTTTTCAAATTTGCTTAAATATTTTAAATATGCCACTTCGTTAATATTTACAATTTGATTATTGCGTACATAAAGTTCGCATAAATTAAAACAATTAGTAAATGGTTCAAGTGAGTTTAAACAATTTCCACTATAATATAAAATAAATAAAAATATATATTATAAAAATCTTTTAATATAATGATTGATTACCTCATATTAATCACTTTCAAATTAGGCATAGATTTCACCATTGAAATATTTCTAAGTTTTAAACCCCTTTTATGTAAACGAAATACAAAAAATCCTATTTTTTTATATTTACCATAGATTAAGTTTTGTTATGAATTTTAAATTCTCTCCTCTTGAACGTAGCATAATTAGGTTAGATGATAGAATTCCTTCATCTGATTTTATTTCTTCATTAAGACTATGAGTATAAGTTTCCATTTCTGGCATTGAATTTGTAATAATTTCAAGTTGTATTAATAACTCAATTTGTAAACAGATTCTTAACTAAAAGAAGAATACAAAATGACTTATTTTACACAAGTGATATTATATAAATATATAATTATTCAAGTCATATTTACAAAATGTTCAACACTATGAGAAATTGTTTAGTTACGGAATACCTGTCAATGTTAGGAGATCAAGATACGTTTACATTTCACATCCAAAAGATCACTATATGTACGAAATTGACCAAATGTTCAACTTGAAATATTTCCAAATCCGACAACACCTTTAAAACTCAATTGAACTAGTGCTCATTGGTGACTAGCTTCGAGAGGTATTCCCGAGGTTCCAACGAGAAGTCGTGACCGGTGAGGGTAAAGCCTGATGGTCTGAGGACAGTTACTCAACGGTGATATTGGGTGAGCTAGTAGAAGTTGGAAATATGGACCATTGGATTCTAACCCAGTGGCAAGCTCAATGGTAACGTGTTGGCCACGGAACCTGAAGGTCGCGGGTTCGATCCCTGGTGGCGTCGTTGGTGCGCACTGCTGAGGAGTCCCATACTAGCACGAAACAGCTATCCAGTGCTCCCAGGTTTCATTTGTTCCTCCAACTGATGTCAGTCTAGGATGAATAACAACTTGAAATATTTCCTAATCCCCACAACTTCCTCAAAATTTAATTAGTGGATGCCTGTCAATGTTAGGAGATCAATATACGACTACATTTCGCACCCGAAGGACCACTTTTCAATAAAGGAAGACTCTGGTCAAGATATATGTCCAGAGTTGACCAAATGTTGAAGAACTGAACTACTAATTGATTTACATTCTCTTCTCGACAGTCATGTTGGATAGTGCAGGATAGGCCTCACAAAGTGTGCACTTTCCAAATGTATCTCTGAACACTATCCTGAAGGGTTGTCAAGGGGAGAATGTAAATCAATTGACAGTTCCATACTTGAACATTTGGTCCACTCTAGACATATAACTCGACCAGATTCCTCCTTCAGTGTCATTTACAGAGTCAAATGGAATAGTTAAAAAGTAGGACATCTTCTGCACTTGTGCACATACAAGCACTGTCAATTCATCACTTCAAACCTGATCTCTGCATGTAAAAAAAGTATAATCTTTCTTTTATGTTATCACGGCCGTGACATTTTCTCAATTTTTTCTCGATTTCACTATAATTAGTTAGTTTATTATTGTCACCTTCATGATGACTCTTATCTCATTCTTCACCTTCTTTACATCTATTTCTCACGTGGACATTCAATATCCGAATTTTTCATTTACCAATAATTTTCGCCCTGTCAAACTTCGTACCTTTCTTGGTGTTTTCACTGTCCAGAAGATTATTGCGTAACTACTTTCCATTCTTGATTTCGTTTTTTAGTACTAGCTTAATAATGCAATTATACACTAATGTTTAACAATAGACTTATATTTCAAGTTTCTATTCATCGTAGACTGACATCAGTTAGAAGAACAAAGGAAACCTGAGGGCGCTGGACGGCTGTTTCGTCTTAGTATAGGTGGGCACTGCTGAGAAGTCCTATACTAGGACGAAACAGCTATCCAGTGCTCCCAGGTTTCCTTTGTTCCTCCAACTGATATCAGTCTAGGATGAATAGCAACTTGAAATATTTCCAAACCCCACAATTCCCTCAAAATTCAATAGACTGTTATGTGTTTATGATAAAAATACGATTGTACAGCTTTAGACAATGATAACGTCGAAAAAGAAAATTTTCTTCGCCGAATTATTTCTTCTTTTCTCTATGACTCAGTGAGCATGTTTCATCAAAAAGACATTTATGAAAACTTTTATTAAACTAATCTTCTCTTCATTTTTGAGTGATCATATAGTTTGAAAACATCTTATTTAGTACAAACCAAGTAATCTGAGTACGATTTCAAACATAAATGTATGTGTATGTAAGAAAATTGTGAAGATAGATTATTGGAATAATAAGGTTATATAACGAGTTCCAAGGTGATTCACTTCTTCAAGGTCACCTCAATCAATATGATACTCTGCTTACTTCAAACATTACTAAACATTGTTATAAAAAAGCAGTTTAGAATTAAGTATAGCTTAGTGAGGACATTCATAAAATCTGGAATTAATAAATTTCCTATTTTTAAATGGTTACATGCTTTTCAGCGTCCAGTACCATCAGTGTCAGGAACGGAATCAGATAAACAACTCAGGATGACTTTGCTTGCTGGCTGACAGCACATTAGAGGTAAAGTTAAGCGGTGTGACAAAAAAATACAAATCCTTAAGAATTTGAATATAAAACCTATTATAATTTAATTTGGTTGTGGCTAGCATGAGAATCCAGGAAGCGTGTTTCTTCTTATTTCGGATCTATCAGCTGGATCTACCAGCACCCCACTACCAAGTGATATTGTTCCCACCGATACTCAGACTTCGTACCCATATCTTCAAACGCTAAGGCCTTATCCACTAGTCCACGGAGGCACTACAGCCACCTCTTGTACAACAGGTATTACTTATTACTATTTATGGATATGTTTATAATTCTCTGTTGTTTTACTGAATCGAACAGTTCGACCTCTACTAGCCATATCCAAGTAAATTATCATACTTAGCAATCGGGTAATATCAAGACATCCATAAAGGAGCCCATATATCAACAGAAGTCAAATAATTTGATCCAGTGGAACAACGGAGAATTACAAGCTTATCCATAAATAGTAATAAAAACCTATTACTAATTATACTTTATATTGTTTGGACACTAATTAGTATAGGCTTGTCCGTACTTATTCAACGTTGTTTTACAACAGTTTCACAGTTTAGTAGAATGATATTAAATTAAATTACACATTAACCTATAATCAAATGAATAATTACTACACTGGACCACAGTTTCAGAATATCGTGTGTTCTTCGCAAATTTTTAATAGATCCAGTAATGAAACAAATGAAACTAATTCTATATTTTATTTATTTACTTATTATTGTATGTAGTCATTAACAAGTGACTACAGTATTGTAAATTCTGTGATTATTCAGGACAATTTTTGAAAGATTTGTTGTACATTATCACTTTGTGTTTTATCTGTTTGATGTTGATGTATACTATGATAAAGCCTGTTAAGTAGTGATCTTATATACTGAAGTTAATGACACTTTTGTACTAGAAATAGTAATCTTGTAGAAAATTCATAATTTTCATTGTGACATTAAAAAAAGAGATATTCAGCGAAAAGGATGAAAGAGATGAAAACAAACTATCAAAAGATTTGATAATTTGTTTCATTCATATTACGTAATCCTTTAATTGTTTGCCAGGTCTACCATGTTTTCACTCCTTTGTAATCGATATGCACCCTATGAACAGTTTATAAAATTACAATAATCCCTTTATGCTTTAATTCAACTTTTCTTCATCAACTAGAAACATTATAATAAATGTAATCAACCATATTGTTATTTTAACCTCCCATTATTTAAATATAATTTCCCACATGGATTATAGTCTTTGACTGTCATATATGTATACGAATGTAAAGCTTAAGAATGAATTTGTTGGAGAGAGTCCTCTTTGTTGAATGTCTAGCTTCAATGAAATATTTATAAAATTAAAGTATAAATCAATCACCTTTACTGACTAATAATCTAAAAAAATTTCCAATAGTTCATAAAGGAGCGCTACAAAGTAAGTAATATATGTGCAAAAAGTAATTTCAACATGAATTGTAGGGACTTTAAGGATTATTTAATGTAACGAAACAAAAAGAAAGCGTATAGAGACGCTATGCATGATTGTCATTGATGCTGGAATATAAGTTCACTTTTAAACCCAAAATCTCCTTATGAGATAAATTTTGTTGACTTAGAAGTATCCTTGATCCAAAATTATCATACAATGGCCTTTATGTCAGTAGACAAGTTGAATCAGATAAAATAAATCGTTCAAGTTGACAAGAACTAGGGAATTAACCTAAAAATATGAAACCCTTCAATGAACTCATTATTCCATGAACAACACTCACGCCTCACAATGCATGCAGTGACTAGCTACCATACAGTACAGAAAGATAATATAAAAGTTCCAAAGACAATAGAGTTAGCATAAGATGGAATAGTCACCGAAACTTTACTTTTCATATCAAGTAAGCGAATGCAACAATAATGATTCATGAACTTAGTTCCTTTCTATGAGCGAAGTTTTATAGATAATTTAAGCTGCTTTCAAATTCATATCCAAGGTAGTATTCTCTTCATTTGAACCTTGGAATTTTCTAGGAAAGTAATGTAAAACACTGCAGTCATGTCCTCGAAGAAGTCGGTAGCTTTTGCTTAGAAGTACCGAATGTGACATTAATCACCAAAGTTTTTAAAGACTCTATATGTACGTGTAAATAATTACAGATAAGCTTACATTTTTTATAAACTCTATTTCTCCGCAATGTTTCGTATAAGATGGATACTAACATTATCTTTCAAAATAACTCAACTGATTTATATATGAAGCGAATATCTTCAGGTCCTCGCATTCCCAAAGCTACCAGACCTAGTCTGAAAATTACCGAGTTTAAGACTATGTCAACTCCCGATGAAAGGGATGGGCTGGAGCACTCTCAGTACCCATCAAAGAACTACACAGGGAGCAGGTCCTACCAAGTTTGGTGACAGAGTTAGTGATGCCAAGTTCACACAAGGGGATAAAAATCCGTTCTGAGGTTGTCCACGTCAAGGTCACTGAAGTAGGCGTTAGTCAGCCTTCCACACCCAACTTTGAGAAATGCTAAGTAATTAAGACTAAAATATATGTTAAAAAGACGGTAACAGCCACAAAACCAACTGTCAGCATTCCACAGAATAAAGACGAAATAGAGCCCTTTGAAAGGTCTGTAATCTTCCACACAGTGGAAGAAAGTACAAATTTAGAACCATATAACCTTTTTTAATATGATCTTGATAAGGTACAAAGTTTGGTAATCAAGCTTTTATCTGAAGGCATACCAGAGGTTGCTATACTTAAGATACACAGAGTGGGTGAAAAGGAAACAATCGCGACCGAAAACAGGTTTCGCTGAGTGTGAAGCACATTAACCGGGATCTCTTCGTTTCAGAAGTTATAGGTTAGCATGCATGTGTGGTGATATCATCCCTTACGTTGAGAATACCTTTACTTTTAGAACCATAGAAAGGGTTGCACAAGAAAGTAGGACATGTGAAATGCTGCAGTACCAACTAAAATGCAAGGGAAAAGGTGTTAATCTAATCATATATCGTGGCCCAGAATGTGAAGCAGAAGACTTCCTCCTGAATAAACTGACCTTCTGAGTAGATTTTAAAGGACTATCATTTGACTAGGAAACACTAACTATAAAAGCATCACGTAATTCGTTTGATTACAGGCTAGTGGAAACATCAACTTCTTCGGCCCGTATACAGCACATTAAGGTAATAACTAGATATGACCATCAGCATGCTCCGTCAGTTTTAGACTTAATATAACCGCTCACAAACGATTTAAGTTTCATCCGGCACCTTGCACCCTTTAGTAAAAGTTATCATGCTGCGATCATCCTCAGATTCACTGCAGCCACACTGTATCAGGCTGATGGCCTAGCTAGACCCAATGAAAGGAAAGTGAATATGGCAGCTATTAACTTAACAGCCTCTTCGTAGGACTGGATAGCAATCCAAAAGCCCCAGATTGGACTGTATGGTGCTCCTTCAAACAGATATATCTACTAGTGACTCAACCGTTCATTCCGCTTAGGGTTCTGAAATGATGAAAACATTGTTTTCCGTAGATAAACCGCAAAATCTGAATTTCGCTTCGACACAGAAATAATTGTTGAAGTTTTACCAACCATCCCCGTCTTCCAAGATGATAAAGCATTAAAAAGAAGCTTAAAATAAATATATTGATGCTTTCCGACATTCTCTAATATGTTCTGAAACACGTCCCGCCCGGACTGTGCTCCAACATCCAAAGAGGTTATTTCCTCATATAAACAATAAGAATAAGATGTATCGTGGTATACCCATCCTAATCAAACAGACAAAAACTTACTTTTTGCCTGAAGACGTTAAGGGAAAAATAGAAGCTATGGCTTGATATTTTGATGAGTTATTTACCACGGAGCTTTCTACCGACACTATTTCAACAATATTGACTATTGACTTTCAACAGATTTAACTCTGTGGTCATCGATTGCAATGATGTATTTAAGACCTTAAGGCCTCTGGATGTAGAAAACTCAACGGGATCGGCTGAGCTGCACCCAAAGCTGTTCAGAAAGCTTGCAATCTATGTAGCCGGCCGACTGACTACCCTATTCAGGCTGTCCTTCAGCGAAGGGACACTCCCCTACGATTGAAAGGACGCTGCAGTCATTTGCAAGGTAGGTTCTAGACAGCACCCATCAAATTACAGACCCATAGGTTTTATTCGCACTATAGTAAAAATTCTAGAAAGGGTAATCAGGAAAGCCATTACGGCTCATCTAAGGAGCAACACTGTATTGCTTCATTCTCAAAACGGCTTTTGCAACAGTTTCTGTTGCCTGACGAAGCTTACCAAAGTCAGATAAAAGTAGGTTTAAGCCTGAGGATGATAAGATACCTGTAGATGTCACTTTTTTTATAGATTTTTCAAGCCTTTCTACAAGATACCTTATTCCAAGTTGCTCCTGAAATTGTAAAGTTTCGGAATCTCTGGGAATCTACTTGCATATATCAAAGAATTCCCTATCGGTAGGTGACATAATTTAAGGATCAATTCTTAACTCTCCTCTTGGAAGTCAGTGGAGAGTGGAGTACCGAAAGGACAGTTCTGGGTCCCCTGCTATTTCTCCTACACACAAACCAGCTGTCTAATTTTACGAAATCCTCTATGGTTCTCTATGCTGAATCAAGGATGAGGAGAATGTACGCAAACTTTAAACGGAGATAAACAGCTTGTTTACCTTGTCAGAGAAATGGCTGATGCCTATCAATCCAGGTAAGTGTATGAGCATGCTCACTGGGCACACAGATGACAACATCTACTACTACAACATCTTCTAACCTCAGCACTGACCCAAAAAGACTTAGGAGTCATGTTAAGTTATGAGTTGAAGACCGCAGCGAACTGTCATTCGGTTGTAACCCAGAGTTTTAAGTTACTTAAATTACACATAACGTTTACTAAGATAAGTTTTGATATGTTCACTACCTTATGAACGTCCTCGGGTATATATGAATTAGAAAATCATACAAAAGCGGAAGATCCTTGCGTAAAAGGCGACTTAGACCTTCCGCAAACAGTTCAGATGACAACCACTCTGGTGGCTAGCCTGCCACATGAAGAACGACATGAGAAACTGGGCTTTTCTTTATCGTACCTCAAGTAGACCAGAGATCTAATCGTGCTACATAGAACTCTAAGAAATTACAGACGGATAAGTTTGACTGGTACTGTAGTGAAAATCCTAGAAATAGTAACCAAGAAAGCTATCACAGTCCACCCAGAGAGCAACGCTCTATTGTCTCGTTCACAGCACAGTTTTCGTAGAAATTTCTCTTACTTGACGAACCTTCTTGCAGTCAGAGAAAGTTGGGTTAAGTCTAAAGATGATAGGATACCTGTAAACGTTATTTTCATTGACTTCAGCAAGACGTTCAACAAATTACCTCATTCTAGGTTGCTCAGGAAACTGAAAGTTTTGGAATCACTGTCACTCTGCTCGCCTGGATAAGAGACTTTCTTGTTGGTGGGAAACAAAGAGTTAGGATCAATTCTTAACCCTTCACTTGGAAGTCAGTAGACAGTAAAGTATCGCAATGAACAGTCCTCGGCTCCCTTCCATTTCTTCTATACGTAAATTAGCTGTCAAATGTCACGAAATTGCCTACGGTTCTCTATGTTAATGATGTAAAAATCTGGCGGGAAATTAGGAACGATGAGAATACACATGCATTTCAGGCAGACCTGAACAAATTGTTTACCTGATAAGAGAAGTGCCCGTCGCTTCTCAATTCAGGTAAATATGTAAGCACGGACTTGGAGAACACACACAGCAACACCTAAGGTATTGATGGAACTCCTCTGCTGTCAGTACTAACCCACAATGACCTAGGAGTCACAGTGAGTTATGACTTGAAGACCACTACTCACTGTTGGTTGATAGCAGCTCGGAGTTTTAGGACTCTCTTGGCACTATGTAGAACGCTTACGAAAATAAGTGGTGACGTGTTGACGGTCTTATATATATCCTTAGTTAGGTTTGAACTAGAAAACTGTACACAAGTGGTTAATCCTTGTTTGAAAGATGACGCAGTCCTTCTAGAAAGATTTTAGAGGGCAGCCACTTGTGTGACCCCTTCCATGGTTGGCCTCACCTATGAAAACCGACTTAAGGAGCTGAACCTCTTCACTTTGTCCTGCCGCAGACAAAGAGGAGACTTAATCATGCTATTCAGGATTTTAAGAAATTACTTTGAACCTGATCTATCTTCTCTTTTTCCTTCCCACTAGGTCGGAACACCTCAGAGAATATAGCAGAAGACCAAAAAAGCAAAAAACGAACATAATCTCCGCAGAGTACTGATTCTGGCGTCAGGTACTCAGTGCCTGGAACCGACTCCGTGGTGTCCGCATCATCAATTGACTCGTTCAAAAGGGGATTAGACAAGCACACAGAAAAGGATTAATCTAGGCTCCAACCCTCCTATCCTCAAACAACAAATCTGAGTAACTTTTGACCTGATCTGCATTCTCTCGTCATCCTCAATAGCCCAAAACATCTCAGAGGACATAGAGTGAGAGTGCAAAAGCAAAAGACGAACGTAGTCTGCGTAGAGTACTGGTTATCGAGTTGGGCAATCAACTCCTTGAACCGACTCAATAATCGGTTCGTCCAAAAAGGGCTGGACAGGCACAAAGATCTTCTGAAAAGGATCGATATAAGCTCACATTTTTTTTGCTCTCACAAAACAAATCTACATCTGAAGCCGAATGACTCAGAAGTTAGCATATGTATTCATAATATATTCTGGAGCCCACCAGAAGTTTAGAAGGCACACGTAAAGCGAATGAAAAGTGTGTTCATTGATATCAATCCAAGCATGGTTTGTTTACTCTCTGCATCTCAGTTAAAAAGTTATATCAAGAGTTGTGAGGGTTGAATTGAATGCAAAACAGTTACTTACATATATGCACTTTTTGCACATGAAAACCATTTTATCATGTATACGTATACATGTTTTTCTATGAATCTCTACCCTTATATATATATACATAGCGCTTATGCTCATTTACCACTGCTTGTTTTCCTTAACTGTAAATCAGTACAAGTAATGATAAAGTACGAAAAAACTGAAAGAAATAATAAGTCATAAAAGTCATTACCTAGTACAAAAGTTTTCTTATGAAAAGCCGAAAAATTTAAAAACTCACATTTACGTTACTACTGTACTTAAACTATATTGTATAGCTTAAACAAGGTCTTTTCAATATTATTCTCTAATGACGCATTCGCCAGACACTCATAATTTAGAAGTCTTCTCCAATACATTCAAAGATGCTATTTTTAACTGAATATTATCCATTATCTCTTGTCTCTGTGAAGAGAACTCGTCAGCAATTTTTATGGGCCAAACATGGCAATTTAGGGCCACTCACTATTGAAACATCGAACTTCATACCATAGACTTAGTGAACCTTGGTTTGTTAATTTCGAGGTCTGTCTTGCTGGAATAAGTTCTTGGTTTGGAATGCTCACACGTATCCTCTTGGTTCCAAAAGACCTAAAACACCAGAGATAATCGATTAGTTACTGACCAGCACGTTATAGGTAGCGTTACCCTTCCTAATCCGTTGGATATAGAGAGCCTCTCTAATACAATCCATCAGCGTCCGAAGACTGTAAATATGCATCCATGGAAAACATCGGGTTGAGTGTGGGGCCTGGCGTACGCCTTGCACCATTTTCCCCTAGCCGGGCACAACGATTCTTACCCTGTGTTGACATGTTAAGGATATTTGGCCGTATGCCTACCCCTGAGATTTTAAAAATTGCCCCACAGCCGGCTCAATATCTTTTACTATGGCTTTGATTCTGACTAGGCACTTTCTTTTATGGTATTACATTTAGCTCAAACATTTTTGACGATAATATGACGTTTTCAATAACTACCATACATTTGGCCCAATGTTTTCACCACGAAGTACTCTTTGGGCAGAAATGGACAGAAGTAATCAATTATATATCTAGTGAGGGTGGGCGTTAGCTCGTTCATTCCCTTTCCTTATCGATAGCTACTTCACTGTCACAGTAAATATTCCACCGCCATCGGCTGGCATAGTTTCCTGTTCCCTGAAAGAAGCGTTTTAAACAGATTAGAAGTGAAGTGAATGTACAACTTTGCGTCTCATTCATCCCTTCATCCGCCCGACCATAATGGTTACAGTGAATATGAAACTAATGTCCCATGTTTTCCAGTAGGACTTTAAGGAATCTTCTCGACCGCTCCAACGGTGCATATTATGTCCTCTGGTGTTATAACTTACCTGAAATATATAAAACTCGCTTCCCCGAAACAGTTGGGACTGACTATTATGGAGTGTTTGGAGTTATGCATAAACACTCCCGTAGACTCATGATTCTGTCTGAAAATAACAATCAAAAGATAGAGCAAGATAAAGGGTCTGCTACATACCCAATGATATGGAAAAGAGTGAAGTTTCGCGGAATACTTGTAGACGATTCACAGTGCAATGTCATTTTTATCACCACTGCATACTTCAATCTGTTGTGTACATGTCCTGAAGGAGTTTTCCCTTACTACATACAGGCACTTGAAGCTCATGTCTTGCAGTGAGGCTGACGTTCAACGAAACGATACCTGAAAAGGCTCGAATCTACTGACAGTGGATGATTCAAGCGGTTTGATGTGAAGCGGTCTCGTGTGTTCGTATGGTCCAAACGTAGAATGAAAGTCTTAACCTTATCCACAGCTGTCTGTTCACTGAGACTCAAGCAAGCAATACTGAGTCCGTGGACTCAACTAATAGTGCTTTCGTCTCAAAAACTGATGAATTGTATTCCCAGCAACCCGATAAGAAAATAAATCAACCGGAGATCTCTCTATGTCGCGTCATTTCTAAGCCTGAAACGGCTGATTCTTTAACTGCAAGTACACCTGTACATCCCTTAGGCTATGTATGCATGAACTTCAGTGAGCTCAAGTTACTTGGTAAACATAAATTAGTGCCACTGACAACGGATTGCGCTTCTCAAAGCTCTGACCAACTTGCTTCTCAGCTACGGATTGACAGTGAAATCACTATCGTGCTTGCTAAGCCTCCTTATCCTGAAGATAAAAGAAAGTCTGAAGCCAAGAACTGCCAGATCGGGCGACTTCACTCACCATCCTACATTGAGATAAACAGTGAGCATCCGATCTCAACTGCCCTCAGAGCGTACCTTCATGATCATTGTACTGACCCCAGACCGTTCGCCGAAACAATATCAAAGCATTCAGCGTCACAGAATCCTCAGTCGTTTGCATGAAAAACCCATTACCAGATTGGTGAACCAACTCATCGTCAAACGCCTGCTCTGAATCCCCTTATAGAGAGCAAAAGTGGCCACTATACTCAGTCTGCCACTCAGTTTAACCATCACTACCATGCAACACGTGTTCCTTTGACCAGCAAACACCTGATCCCACAGAAGAATTGGGGCCTTTGAGAACTAATGGCGCCTTTGATAAGTTGGGTGGTCCTGAAGGTCCACATCATATGTTGGACATGATTACACAAAGCCGCTTGGCACCGAATGATATCATGCCCCCCGCACACTCACCAGGCTGGCGTCCACCTCACACACCAGTGGTGAAACTAAGTGCGTCCTAAACCATGGCTCTTGTGGGTGTGTGTGGATGAGTAACCAAATAACTCCTTCTCACTCATCTGGTAAAATGAAGGTTGATACCGCACCGATCAATGTACCTATCTCGGTCGTTTCCTTACCCTAGAGTCCATGGCCCTCTTCAAATGTTAAAACAAACCGTTTTTTCGAAGCCCCACAACCTACCCGTGTCCAAGATTCCATACGTGGATACTATGGATTCTATACTTTTCTAATGTGTACTTTGCCGATTATTCAACCTAAGGTGGTGGAATAGCAGTCAAACGCCATGTGCAGTAACGTTAGGGCCCATTAAGGAAGAAGTACTCGGGATTGGTGAAAGCCTTAATTTGCACGTTTAGGGGTCCCAGTACGTTTTCATTGGCCCAGAACGATAGACTCATCATCTGTGAGGAGCTTATTAAGTGAGGAGCAAAAGACAGACAATGAACCTGCAGTACGTGTCAGATGTCAGAGAACTTGTTGAGAAAGAAATTACCCGGCTTACTGGCCTCACACCGCCCAGTTTTAGCTAACTGTTTGTGACTGCACACAATATGAATAGATGTTACAACCATTTTGATTCCCGGACAGCATGAGTGCATTTGCTTACAAAGTAGTTCATAATAAAGCATAAGATTCATTCTAAATGGCCTCTTCAAGAGTGGTTCTAGTCCCAGCATATTAAATCTGAAGATGCAGTTAAGTTAGCAGTCAGCTACTAGTGCTCTTAATGTAAGGCGGCGTCGTACCCCTAAGTATTTTCAGTTTATCGTCCATTCGAAAGCCGCTTATGACAAACGAGCAGTATTCTAGGATTTGACGGATGCATATTTGGAGAGCAAGACCGTTGATTCAGTACTATAAAAGTTACGAATGATGCATCCTAGGAGTCTATGTGACTCAGTTTTGCTGTACGCTGCCTGCTCAGAGAAATTCAAGTCACTGGAATATCTGATCCCTGGGTCAGAGATGGAACTAAGTTTTGGCAGCTGTTGTCCAGATACTTCAGATATCAAGTCAGTGTTACTGTCACTAGTGCAGATCCATCCGCATTTGTTGATATTGAGCTGCGGAAGGGCATCAGCACACCATGAAGAAAGCTCTTCCAGTTCGTGCCGAATAGCAGTCATAGTGTCACCTGGCTCGCAGCTGTGACAAGATTAAACGACTTTTAGGTCGTCGGCATATAGAAAGGCGTCGTCTGTGGCAAAGCAGTTGCAAACACTGTTAATGTAGATAATAAACAAAAGAGGCCCGAGAACGCTACCTTGCACAACACTTGTGATGTATTTTGGAGTAGACAGAGCTGAATTGATTTTTGTTATTTGGGTGCGATCAGTGAGAAATGATTTCAGCCAGCTTAGCAAAGGGTTGCTAATACCCGACGCGTTTAACTTTTCGAACAGTATATTATGCGAAACCATGTCAAATGCCTTCGATATATCGAAGTACAGTACTAGGACTATTTTACGTGCCTCACGACTGCTGGTAATGAGGTTGAAAAAGTCGAAGTGACATATAATGCATGATCTGTTCTTTATAAAGGCGTGCTGAGACTTTGTTACAAAATCTTCTGCAAGTAGGTTTTCAGACATGCTGTCTTTTACAACTTTCTCCATAATTCGCGATGGGATTGGGGTTATACTGACGGGTCTGTAGTTGCTGACACTAGCCATGTCCCCAGATTTGTAGTGTGGGATTACAGAGCTAGCTTTCCACCCGGTTGGATGCATCTCATTTTCCATCGAAATAGCGAACAACTCAAGCAGAATCAAGGGAAGGTCCGGTCCACTATTCCTTAAGACTACTGAGTCGGGGCCGTCTACTCCCATCCCTTTTGTGGGTCGTAGGCTTTTGATGGCTTCAGCTATATTTTTGCAAGTAAATCCTACAGTCGCAAGATGGTTACTGGAGAGTGATATGCTACTGGTGGGAGTATGCGTCTCACAACTGAACTTCCCAAACCAGTCACTAAATAATTAGCAAATCGTGGCTGGGTTGCTGTAGACAACCCCGTTATGAAGTAGATACCGTATATCACTTGTTTTTCGAGGGCGTTTCTTTAGGAGTGATGTTGGACTGTATACTTTAGAGCTAGTTCTAAGGGCTTTTAACTCATCATTTCGGGCTTCCTGTGCACACAAGCCTTTGACTGATTCTAGGGTATTGTAGACCGCGTGCAGCAAGGAGAAATCCTTGGTGGAGGGGTAGGGATTCGACAGTTGCCTGAGCTTTCTGAGGTATGTGGGTGGAATGTATTCTGAGTGTCCATATAGTTTCGCTGTTTTCACAGGAGCAGCAGTATCCAGGCACGACTAAGCACGCCTATAAAAAAGGATACTGTGGTTGCTAGCGAGTCTGCGGTAAAACAGTCATCCCAATGGAAATATTAGCCTCAAGCTTTATTTTTCTCCGGGTAATACCTGTAGTGTCTAGATACAAACCTAGTTCTTTTTGTTAATGCAAAGATAGTACTTCCACTTGTCCAAATTGCAAATTTTCTGCACATTTATTCTGTTGGGATGTTCCATTATGTGAACATGTAGCGCTTATATCTTCTAGTGACAACGCGTAGGGATTGAGATTACCTTCCATGAAGATACATGTAATTTGTATATAAACTTATTCATGCCTGTAAAAATGGCGC